TGTAGGGACACAAGTCTTGCCAGACACAGAACAGAGATCATTATTCAACATATAAGATATTCCATATGAGAAATAAGAACACAAAAAATAACACAAAAAGGAAACCCATTGCAGCTATATCCATGGTGGTATTTAACACTTTTTGCATCCTCCAAAAGGAGCTTAATAAACCTGAAGATCAAAAATAAGAGTTCCATTTTGGGTAATAATTGAAAGTAATTTTTCAGGTTAAGGGTCATAAGAATGGGAAAATTAAAAAGTACAGACTGCTGTGCCTGAAGTTTTGTAGAAGAATATTTTTTCTTTTGCATTATGTAATCAAATAAACACATCATAACATTATCACTTGGGGCTTGAAATGCAGTGAATGTCCCTGGAGCTCCTTTGATGCCACCTGCCACGGAGGAAACATCTCCCTTGTGGCTCCAGGCTCCAGGCCAGGTGAGGTAAACTAGCACTAAAAAATTCCTTTCTGGTGTGATGGTATGAATATATAAATATACAACCCAGCCTGATCTGCTGTGAATGCTCCTGGACACAGTGGCTGAGGACAGCTCTGTGGCAAAGAGCTCTGCTGGGCACTGAGCAACCTTCACGGGGCCCTCCCCTCATCTCTCCAGTGATGCAGTGCTGGTAACTGGGTCCTTTTCCCCTTCAGTTCTTACACGGAGCCCAGCCAGTAAAGATACACCTCCTTCATGTGTGCTGTTCAAATAAATTACTTCTGAGGATGAAATTGCAGGAAATTTTTGAGTTTTTGGGAGGATATTTAAATTTTGGTCAAGATTGTGTTCTTTAACATGTATCCTCCTTTTTTCTACAGCATGTTCTGAATATTGTCCTTATCCTTTCCCTTATATTCTTTAAACAAATATTTTGGTTTTCTTTCTTTTTTTGTTTTCTTTTCCCCCTTATTTAGGCATAAATAGACACTCAAGACATTAAATACCTCAGCATGCAGTGAGTTGTGATTCTGGCTCTATATGCAATACTGGTACATTCAGTATAAATAAAATTATAGTTTCAGCTATCATATATGTATAGTTTTGTAAATCAAGAGTATTAAGTGGGAACAAATTAGACAGGAACCATTTCTACTTAAAACTGCCTTTATTCTGGGCTGCAAGTCAGCCTGGGTGCAGTGTGTAGGGGTGACACTGCCCACTCTGTCCCAGGAACATCTCACCTGCCAGAGCTGAGCAGTCTGGGCACTGCCTCGGTGGCAAATTACAGCAGAATTTAGCTCTGGATAGACTCCACAAAGCAAATTTATTCAAACCATTTCATATTGAAAAGCCTGATTACCATTTACCATATGATGCCTTTCTATCACTTCAGCAGTATCAAAAGGCTTTATTGTAGATGAGATCAAATAAATATAGCAAAACCATGAAAAAAGAACAGAGTCATACCCTGACTGATAGCATGCTCCTACAGACTACTGCCACCAGCTGAGAGTATGTGCCAATATTTTTATGAGCCATCATTACCAAACATTACTGAAGCAGGCTGGAAGAAAACAGCAACCTAGAAGTGGTGTTTAAGAAAGCCCTGGGAAAGGAGGAGAACAGAAGAGGAGAGCTGCTGAGCTGAATCAGCATGTGGGCTGTAGCTGGAACAAAAGGATTCTTCAGTTCATGCCAAAAATACTCGTCAGCGCTGCTGCTTTTTTAAGCTTAACATTCATAGGTGACTTTTCCTGCTTCTGAGGAGTCTTGTGGGAAGCTGCACTGGCTCAGGTATGGGTGGCTGTCAGAGCCCTCACTCTGCTCCCTTCAAGGGCTTCCTTGGGAGAGGAGCTGGCTGCTTGGGGAGCAGGGCAAGGGGGGCCCTCTGAGCCTCTGGGGTGTCCCAGGAGCCCCTCCAGGCTCTCCCCCAAGGGTATTCTTGCTTCTGAACACACTCCAGCCCTTTCTCTTCCTCTGCCTTCTCAGCTGGCAGGACCTCAAAGGCAGCTCAGCAAAGCATCTGCTGAAGATCCCAGCTGCAGAGGTATCTTCCATCTCAGTGGGGCATGAACAGTCTTTAGGGGACTCATTACAAAGAATTAAATATTATTAAAGTTACCAAAAACCCCACAAAAGAGCAAAAGATTATTTTCCTTGGTGATCAACCAGCCTGAAGGACTCATTATTGTAGGGAGCCACAGAGTCCACAAATTTCAAAAGCTTCAGGAAAGATCAGTTATATGTATCACCAAAAAAAGGGGAAAATAAATCATCATACTGAAGAAATGCAAAGAATCTTCTCAAGTTTCGGGTTTAAAAGAACATTTAACCTACATCAGCAGGATGGGTGATGGCAGAGCTCACACCCAAACTGTGCTGCTGCCTCTGCATGTTCTGAGGGGCAGCTTGGAGGGAACTTCTGCTATTGGTAAACCAAGGAACAAATGAAAAAAATGCAGAAATTCTACATGTAAGGCTGATTATTTTAAGGTGTGGATAGGAAAATGTGCTTGTCTGGGTCCTCTGGTGTTTCCTGGGGAGAAGCAATCCTGCTCCTGCACAACGTGCCACGTGTGTTTGTGTTTAGCTTAGCTGTGGGAAGCAGGCCTTACTTGTAAAGCTGGGGCCAAGCTTGCATTTTGCAGCACTTCAAAGAGCATCACCAAAACCAATCTTTTAGAACCTGAGCATGTTTGTTATCTTGCTAATCCTAAAGCAAAGAGATCTAAGGAGACAGCAAGATGAACAATGCAAAAAAAATTACAGTGTATACACTTGAAAAACCAAGGTGTCCTTTTATTCTTCAGCTAGAAATCCAGTTTTTTCATCTGAGCAACTTAATAATAATAAAACCATAATTTCAGCCTCAAAATGTATTTGCTTTTAGGAAATGGAACCAAATTTTTAGTTAAATAACATTGTTCCCTGGGAACAAGCTCAATCTTTGGTGTTCAAATCACATTTACATGAAGCATTTCCTCATTTAGGGGCATTTAATTACTTCAGGAGTATGAAGTATAAAAATTAATATATCCATACAGAAAAATTAAGAGAAAATAAGGCCCTTTACTTCATAGCTTTGCTGATTATGGGTCAGTAGGAATTAGATTGGGCTTTAATTCTTCCCCAGCGTGAAAGGGATTCAATCAGTTACACCATGAGCTGATATTATTAATGCAATCATGGCCTAGAAGGAACCAGCCCTAAAGGGAGATGCCAAAATGAATTCTTCATGTAGTAACAAAGGAAGCCAGAACAGTCCTTCACAGCGAGTCACGTCTGCACTGAGTACAAGCCTGATGTTTCATAAGCCTCCAAATAAACCTGTTGTGAATTTCCCATTTCTGTCTGTACATCCAGCTCTTGCTAAGGGCTCCACAGGCATTCAGAGCATCGCTAAATGAAGGTATTAGATTCACTATGTCACTGAAGAAAAGTATCAAATAGAGAATTATTTCATAATATATCCACTACTCAGGCATTTAGGTACGTTTCCATCTTAATTAAAAGGCCAAAAATTGCAAAAGGCTTCAAGGAAACATTTAAGTTTTCGTAATCAAAGCATAAAATTAATCTATGGAACAAATTACTGCATAGCAAACTAATGATCTTTTCAGAAGAAAGCACTGAGAGGCTCTGAAAAAAAAAAAAAAAAATTAGGTTTTCTGTCTACCTCTCCCTAAAAAAATGTTGGGTTTTTGGGCCCAGAGGGGCTCTAAAAAAAAAAAAAAAAGAGAAATTAGGTTTCCTATCTACCTCTCCCTACAAAAATGTTGGGTTTTTGGGCCCGGTCCCACTAGTGATGTGCAAGAGGGCAGCACAGCCCTGGCCCCAGCAGTCCTCAGGCTGCACACATCCTGCCAGCCTGCCCTTCCCAAATGGAATCAGTGCACAGAGGCTGGGATGAGGTGATTGCAGCAATAACAGGCAGCTGTGCAAAAGAGGCCTGGGAGGGCTTGGAGAGGATGAGAGCCCATCCTCCTGTCCCTGGGCACACCGGGGCTCCCTGGGGTCCAGGAAGCCTTGGGAATGGCAGGGACTCATTAGCCCACTTGTAGCACCCCAGGGTTTGAAAGTGCAGGATCCTGATTTATGGATAAGGTGGCTTGGGTCAGAACAGAGGTTTTTAAACTGTACTTGTTGTCAATTATTTCCTCCTCCTGCCGAGTTCTGTTGAGCTGGACCCAAAGCATTAATAGAGCAGGACTTCCATCATCAAAATATATGAAAATTCACATCAATAGAACTATCTGATCAGCATTTGCTCTTCGAATATGAGTAAGAATGTTTTATTGCATGATAATAAAGCTGTAGCAGTGGCCAAGTTGTATAAACATTTTCCAGGCATTCCTTTAGGATGCCATGCACAAACTGTCAGCAGCTGCTCCATAATGATCTCACGAGCCCAGGAGTGCAGGGCCTCCTGCTCCAAGGCAATATTTCAGAATGAGGAAGGCATTTGCTGTTTATCTGTATTAATATTATGAAATGGGTTATGACTGGACCACAAAATGAATGACTTTGTTATAATCTGGGTGTCAGAGCCTTTGGGAGCAATGGTCAGGCTTCTGCTGACCTTCACTGAAAAATATCCAGGTTTTGAGACATCACTGGGTGATCTGAAGAGAGCAGGCTAAAAATGTATGCAAAGGGATTACAAAGTATTTGTGTTTCATTTTAAAATGTGTGGAAAATCACATTAATGCAGAGTCAGTGAAAAGTGCACATGTGCCATCTGACTGCTCAAAAATCAAGGTTAACTTATATTTAAGAGATTTTTTTTATAAGCTCCATTCAGGCATACATTTCTCCACTGTGCAAAGGTTATGGTTCCTTTGCTGGTTCCTTTCCTTGTTGATTCAGGATTTGAAACATATCCAAGGGTATTTTTTCCCATTCGTGACTTAAGTCTTGCTCATACACAGAACTTAAAGAAATAATTTAAAAAATGTTTTTATTACCTTATTTATTAGCTGCATTTGTATATCAGCTAATCTTCATGTTTTGAACAGAGTCTGACCTCTTTCCTCTCAAAGCCATGGAAAACTTTCCTCTTGGGCTTCCAGCAATCCCAGACACTTATCACTTTCTTTGCAGTACTGATTTTTCTGTGATAAGATAGACCTCTCTTTGGTATAGCTGAATGTGATAGATATTTGTTAAGTCCTTCTTTGAGATAAAATATTATTTATTTTTCCTCTTTAATTTATAAATGTGAAATGGCAAAGCTCCTGACTTGCCTTACCTGCTGAGCCACTGAAAGCCATGAGAGCATAAATATCTATGACATCCACACTATTACCAAATACATTCATTAACAGCAGCACTATCACAGCGAATACCAAGTGAATTGACAGTGACAGGGCAATAAATTAAAGTGTTTATACCTTTTTCTCAGCTTACAAATAGCAGAGTTATTCCTGACCTTTGATGTAAACCTTAATGATCACTGGTAAATCAAATATGATAACTGTTAGAATTCAGTGTCACCGCTGAGACCTTTTCACCCTGGAGATGCAATATCTTCTAAGAATATCCTTGTGGATTATGGTAATTATCATCCATACCTTGTAAAGGATTAATATTCATAGGAAACTAGCTCATTTCCATTGGAAACTTCCCAGTTTACTCTTATGGGCTTTGATGATGAGTTTACATGATGTAAGTTGTCTGTAAACTCACCACTGTCTCCTGGTTCCTGGGCAGTCCCAGCAAGGGGCTGCCACAAAACATCCCTGGGCTCTCAGATGCTCAGATGGCTGCAGATCCCTGAAGGAGAGGTTTTGAGGCAAAAGTTTCCAGGTTTTATGCATTTTGTGCATTTAACCTTGTAGAAGAAGAGAAATTGTGTACACCAGTCAGGTTGCAGGCTTCATGCTTTCATTTTGTTAGTTGAACTTACTGTCTTGCTCTGGTCAGTAAGAAATTATTTTTCCAAAGGAGCAGATCTCAGACTCTCTCTGATAGAAAATCATGAAACAGAGGTGCTAACCCCTATTTAAAAGATCTGATATCCTGAAGATAGGCTTTCTTCCCTTCATCAGCTGCCTCGAAAGAAGCCCCTAGACAGAGCAAAAAGCAGAGTTTGGGCTGATGAAAGTTGACAGTTTTCGGACAAAAACAAGCAACAAATCTTGGCTAACAATAACCATGATACCAACAGTGAAATATGTAGGGTAAATGAGAGGGGAGAAATTGGGCCTTTTATTTCATGTTGGGCAAGGCAATGGTTCTATACCAAATATATGGGTGCAAAAGCATCCCAACACTCTTGCACTTATTCCTGTATAAGAACAAAAAGCACCTCTGTCTTCAGAGAAGAGACTTCATAGCCTTACAGGATCACTTTGGGTTCAGTTCATGCTTTATGTACAGTTTTTGTTCAGTTTTACCTCTTTCCCTAGGTAGCTGGCTGGGCCCAAGAAATAAAATTATATGAGAGTGATCATCCAACCCGTGTTTTAATTCCTGCCCTGGGACATTGTAGATCTAAGCAGTTAGTGATCTGCAGAATTCTCCTGCAAATATTTGGCAGTGTTTGTCGAGACCAGCTCCAGCTTCCCTGGGTGACTTTTTCCTAATGCTTTTCTTTATCTCTCTTGCTTTCAGATAAAATATCAGCTCATGAACTGCAATAATAGCCTTTCCCTCCAGATTTATTTTCCTTCCGCGGTTTTGATTCCAAAAAATAAATTCCGGCAGCGGATAGGAAATTTCTCAGAGGGAAGCTTCCTGTGATAGCCACAAATCCGTGCGGGATGGGGGCGGCTCGGAGCCTGCAGCGGGAGCTGCTGGGGCTCCCGGTGCCCGCAGAGCTCCCGGTGCTGCGCATCCCAGCCGGAGGATGGCACGGTTGCTCAGCTCAGGCTCCGAGGCATCGCTTACACTTGAACTGATGACACTGAGGACGTTTGAGCCCCTCTCCTTTACAGCGGAGACTAAAAAAAAAAAAAAAAAAAAAAAGGAGGGGGGTGGCAGGAAGGGGGAAAGGAATAAAGAAAAGGGGAGGGGGGAAAGGAGAGAGAAAATTAAAAGTCCTTCAGGCCAATGTCGTTTCAGCAGAGCAAGGTCACGGTGGGGCCAGCGCTGGCTGGAGCTGAGCTCCAGGGAGCAGAGGGCTCCTCAGGCTGATTGCAGCTGCTCTAATCTCCGGGGATGCTGCTCAAGGCAAAGCTGGGCTGGGCACAGGGACAGCGACAGCGCCGGGCAGCCCCAGCGCCTTCCCCGCCACAGCCTCCATCCTGCCTTACCCAGCCTCCATCCTGCCCTTACCCAGCCTCCATCCTGCCCTTATCCAGCCTCCATCCCACCTCCATCCAGCCTTTACCCAGCCTCCATCCTGCCTTCATCCTGCCTCCTCCATCCAGTCTTTATCCCACCTCCATCCAGCCTTTACCCAGCGTCCCTCCCACCTCCATCCAGTCTTTCCCCAGCCTCCATCCCGCCTCCTCCATCCAGTCTTTACCCAGCCTCCATCCAGCCTTTACTCAGCTGCCATCCAGCCTTTACCCAGCCTCCATCCCACCTCCACCCAGCCTCCTTCATCCAGTCTTTATCCCACCTCCATCCAGCCCTTATCCTGCCTTTGTCCAGCCTCCATCCACCCTCAATCCAGCCTTTACCCAGCCTCCATCCAGCCTTTATCTCCTCAGCACAGCCAGCTCCTCCTGCACCAGCACTGCCCCGGGCCTGGGGGAGGAAGCTTTTAAAATGCAGCAGTATTGAAGTATCAGAAAATGTATTTAGTAAATAGAAACACGGGCACAAAAGCTGCCACGTTTTTGAAAGGGATATAATGGTAAGGAACTGCAGGGGATCCTCCCTGGGCTGTTAAGGGCTGCTAGAGCTGGCTCCTGAGACAGGGCTGTAAACATCATTTGTGCACATTCTGCTCACCAGCACTGAACATCTGTCTCTTGCTAGACTTTACTGCAACTTTGCCATTTTCTCCAGTTGCTGATGTTTTGAGTTTTGCATTGTTTTGAGTTTTAATTTCCCTGTTAAATGCAGAGCCTAGATGAAGAGGATCACAGAATTTCTAGTAATAATTTCCCTGACTTGCCTCTCCTTGAACAGAAGAGGCAGGTGCAGACACTGAAATAAATTCTACTGAATTACCAGTGCAGTCCTCAGTCTGCACCAGAATCCTTTAGGCACGAGGAGTATCCAAAAAGCTTTTTTCTGGGAATCTCCCAGAAGTATTTTTTTCCAGTTAACAATCTTGCTTAGTTCTACTGAAAAAACACAAGGTTTGCTGATAACACTTCTCTCTTATCATGTCCATTTCCAAAATACTGCAAGTAAATGATTTGGCAGAAACAGTACCATAATATCAAGTGATAATTAGAAGCTGTAAAAGATTAAGGAAAGTTCTACAGGGCTCTGGTTATATATGCAGACCAAAAACTGTGTTGAGAGCAAAAAAAAAAAAAAAGCATGGAAAAGAACTGAAATGGGGACCACACCTCTAGCCACGATTCCTGACCCCCAGGGGCACTACTGACACAACCCTTTCTCTTAGAGAGCAGAAGTGTTGGGAGTTATGCCACTGGGTCAGCAAGAGAGCTCCTGCACATTGTGTTGCCTGCCCACTGCAGAAAGGGCAGAGGGTGCAGCAGGCAGGTTAAAACCACTCCTGTGAGCTGCTGCTCCTGCCAGGAGCCCCCGTGTGCAGCCCAGGATGGGGCTGGGCTGTGCCAGCCCCTCTGCCTGGGCACAGCTGGCACCCCAGGTCCCCCCTGCTGCAGGAGCAGGAGAGGCTCTTCCAGCCCAAGGCCGGCTGTGAGTGCTGTCCTTTGGCAGCTCTGCTGCTGACTCCCCTTCTAGTCAGGCAGCTCCCTGTTTCATCTGTGGCTTCAGGCACTTTCTAGGTGAGTCTGCATGATGAGCAACTGGAGACAAGGCAGACATGAAAGCAGCTTTAGGAGCAGTACACTAAGTGTATCCATATTTCATAGCCAGCCTAATGTGCCCAGGAGATGTTCCCTGTAGCTGTGCTCCATACAGAAGCCCTGGCTGTCCCTGGAGCGAGAGCTGCATCAAAGATTTGCAGAATCCAGTGCTGATTTCAGGTGCCTTCAGGCATTTCCTGATGTCCAAAAAGGAGAAGATGAGGAAGATGAAGGACACTGCCACCAGTGTTGAGGTGTAGCATCAGCCTTTGTTGGCAATGGAGCTCACTCTTGTCCCAAGGTCTGGGCTATCACTCACCAGTTTGTGTGCTACAACTTGCAGTCTGGTCCCTCCTGAGAGATGAGCTAATTTTTCTTGGGCAGGAAGCATCTTCTGCAGCATTTGAAAGGTCTCAGACAGGAGCTTGATGCCTGAAAGATGATGTTGGAGCAGTGATTCCTGCAGCTACAATCAACTGGGTCTTGGGGCAGCTGGCATTTCTGCACTGTAAAGCATCCCCTAAAATCTGGGATCTATATCCATAGAAAATAAATAAATACAATGATCTACCTGTGACCCTGGCTTCAGTTCTGAGGGAAGTTACTGCCTTGGGAATACACTGCTTGCTTGACATATGATTACCTGTGTGCTTGCCTTCCCAACTTCCACAGGTGCTGAAGAGAGCAGATCCTCTTAAATCTCAGTTTAGCAGTTTACATTGACACAACCTCCAAGCCCCTCCTCACCCCTCCCAGCTTTAGGTTGTGTTCCTGATTATTTATTATTAACTTCCAGGTGGGAACTCTTCCAGTATTCCCAACACTGGGTTGCCAACACTGGAAATTAAATAAATCTTATATTTTTCTTTTAAAAAGCATTTAACTCCAACAATATGCAGTTGCAACTGTGAATTACTGAACTCATTTTACAGAATATGTTTCCCAGTCAGAAATTAAATTGGCAGTGCAACCCCTCCACCCCCCAGAATTACTTGGCTAAAGTAGTAGCCAGATGAGCAAGCAAAAAATCACAGGAGGATTAAACCAAATATGCAGCTCAAACAGAGGAGCAGCTGAACCCTCCAGCATTTCAATACACAGCTGATTCAGCAAAACAGATAGATATTCAAATGAAGGATGCCACTGAAAGGGAAAGCAGGCAGCCTAATCAATACAGTGTGCAGCCTGTCCTGGTACAGGGAAAGCAGCAGCCTAACGAGCCACACAGGAAAGTGAAATGGGCAGAAATTTTGCTTTTGCCAGGACCGTGAAGCCCCAGTGGAAGAAATGTCCAGATAGGCCACTGCTCTCTTATGCCTCCATTTTCCCCTCTTGGGATTGATCCCTGCAGTGTGGGGTTAGAGGAGGCCAGAAAAAAACAGCATTATTTTCCCTCAACCACACAGTTTATAGGAAGTGGGATATTGTTTAATTCAAGATTGCAAGTTTATAATTTTCAGCTAGCTACAAGTTGTTCTATTGTACTACACAGATGTTTTATTCTCTGTGAACTATGCAGAAGTAGATTTGATTTAGAGAAATATTTCACTTCACCAAATACTTTGAAAACTGATATACCAACAAATGAAGCAGAGACGTGGTTGAGGAGATTCACATTGTCCTGCTCACATCTTCCTCACAAGAGACTCTTTAGTGCCACTCAGTCCCTCCAAAGCTGGGGCTGTCTCAGTCACAGAGTCCTGTCCCCTGCACTTGCCTGGGTCTGGACACTCTGTAAGGAGAGGAGGGTTTGCCTGGGAGGTGCAAGGTTTGTAGCTGTGTCCTTGAGCTCTGAACACAGACACACACTGCTGCTCCATCCCCTTCTGCCAGCAGAGAAATCTGCTCAGAGAAACCTTCTCACAAGAACAAACCTTATTCACAGAAAAGTAAACAGGAAAAGGCTGGGAGAGCAGCTGATTAAAGGACGTGCCAGTGCACATTAAAATATTTGCTAATTGCAAATCTCTTGTCCCACTGGGCTGCCAGCTCCTGCTCTGATCACGTGAAATGTCAGATGGCTCCAGACTGAATCAATAACCTCATCCCTCAGCTGCCCAGCAGAGAGGAGACAGCAGCAGCACCAGCACTGATTCTGCTTCCCTGTTCTTCCCTTCCCCATTCCCACATTCCATCGGGGTGGTTTGCTCAGATAAAGCTGGTTACAGTGCTGAGCATGGCCTGAAAACCTGAAGAGTGAACTAATATTTAGATTTCATTGCAATGTTAGGGAAGAGCCATGTCAAAGGCAGTGAGACAAAGGCCATGTGGAAGATTTCTCCATTTGTTGCAGCTTTTCTAATCAACACAACATTGCCATGAAGGAAGAGGCTGGGCATCCCCCAGCAGCCTGTGAGAACAGGCAGATAAATCATCCCAAACAAAGGTAAAAGCAAAGTTCATAACTTGAACATGTCACAAGAGCTGCTTCCATAAGAAAACATTCACTCACATGAGTTAAATGTTTAGGTCTGGTTAAAAATCACAGTGTGGAAATAAACATAAAGAGCTCTGGCTGCTCATGATTGGCTTCGGGTTACAAAGTTCAAAAGGATAAAAAACACAAATTTCCACCAGCTGATTGAAACTCTTTCCCTTAACTCTTTCTGGGTTGGTCCTGCTTCAAGAACTGAAAATAAAAGTTCAAAAGGATAAAAAACACAAATTTCCACCAGCTGATTGAAACTCCCTTAACTCTTTCTTCAAGAACTGAAAATGTGTTAAAAGAGAAATGCTTATAAAAATAGAGAGAGGAAAAAAAGTTGGAAGCAAAACAGCAGAAAAACAAGGCTGCCATTCCAATAATAAGGAACTTGCAATTATTGTTCAAATCAAGTCCTAATTTGGAATTGTATTTCTAATCCAATAAAGTATGTCATTTAAGGCACATAAATAATCCCCATTTTAAAGGGATTTAAATTTCACTGCTTTGATGGGTTGGTGATATTATACCAGGGAAATGGTAGCACTAAATGACTGCTATCATTCAGCAGTTCACATTTATTTGACTCCAGAGTTTAAAAGGCTGTGGTTTGCATAGTGCTTATCTAACTACCCACTTATTTTCTCTGTACTTCTGAATCTAAGCAGGGTGTTTACTTTCAGCAGGACAAGAATGTGGTTTCAAAAGAATTGATCAATATTAACCTTGCAGAGTACTGCACATTATATCTATTTTGCATAACCTATATTAGAGAGCAAGCTCATATAGAATTTGTTCACAACAATACATCTGCATCTGCTCTGAATATGAGTTTACAAATCTTCTGCTGTTTTTAATCTTCAAGCTCTTAAAACTGTTCATTAAATATATTGTCTACATATTTTTTGCATCTGAGTTTTGTCAGTGTGTGTGAATTATGCATAAAACCCACAGTGAGACAGATGCATAAAACTGCAGCTTATCTAGGTAGGCATAACCATTCAGCAAACTTTGTTTAATTAGTCACTAAATCAGCCTTTATGACTTTGTTGATTGATTTATGTTTTTAAAATATTACTGACTCTTCTTAAAATGTCTGCCCTTGTTGTTTATTATATTAACAAATATTGGATGCCATAATCTGGTGCTTAAGTACCAGTATTGTAATTCAGCACTAATGACAATGCTGACATGACAGAACTATTAAACTGGATACAGAGTTGTCACATTTTCAGACAGCAAAATACTCATCTGTGACACGTAGCATATGGCACAAACCTGGGAAAATCATCAGCAGAGTTAAGAGTGAATAGAAGCTGTGTTCCCGAAAAAATATAATCTGACATCCAAACACGGATAATCTTGAGACATACTTGACAGTCCATGAGTTGAGTCAACAGATTATAAAATCAGAGGCTGCAGCACTGCATTTCCAGAGAACAAACCACAGCAGAGCTCCTAATGCTGAACTCGGTGTGTAAACATGCTGCTTTTTCTATATACTCTGTAAAGAGATCACTAAAACACTACAGCTAATTATGCTTCAAGCCTCTGCAGAGTCACGTGCTAATGTGTTTATCCAATTTTCATTTTTTGCTGCCCATCTCATACTTGAGCACTTTTGATGCACAGCACTTAAAAATGCCAGTGTTTATTGGAGGCAATCCTGAAGCAGTGGGAGCTGTCCCGTGCAGATAAATCACCTGGAGCTGCAGCACATCTCCCAGCTGTTCACCTGAGTTATCCACTCCTGTGATCCCACGGGGTTACAAAGGTGCCCTGAGGTGACAGAACAACAAAATACACTTTCACTCCTCTTAATTTGTGTTCAGGTCAAGGATGGGGTCCCAATACACCAAATACAAAACATCTGTGTGATCCTCCCTAGGGGACACCATGACTGTCATCCAGCCTGCTGCTCCTTTTGGGGCTGCCCCTCAAGGAGACAGAATTCTTTCAGCTCTGCATTCAGACCCTGCTAAGGTGTCAGCATCTCTGGTTTCCTTATCTCAGAGTTCATCTTGGCATTAAATTTCAAGGGTCATCATAGCAGCATGTTACCCAAAGTTTGATGGTATTATACACAGAACCAAAGTGAAGAAGGATTTGCTAGAGTTTAAATGAAATCTGGTTATATATTTTCTTGCCAAGAAATATCAAAGGAACAATTACAGAATTGTCCCCGTCACTCTCTTGTCCCTGAGTCTCCCGGGGGTCCAGCAAGAGCCCCTTTCCTGCTCTGCATTTCCCCTCCAGCTGGCTCTGAGCAGGCTGGGACACAGCAAACCCTGTGGGCTGGCAGCTCCTGGGTGTGTGCCCTGAGCAGTGCAGTAACTCTGGTTTGGCCCCAGTTCTTGCTCTAGGTCCAGCCTGGCCACACGCTGCCCTCCTGCTGCGTGCTGGATCATGGACACAGGATTGCAGACACTCCCCTCGGGAAAGGGAACACCTCTCACTGCAGGTTCCTGCAGCACCAGGCTGGACAGCACATGGAGCAGGGCCCCGGTGCAGGTGCTTGCCCTGAGGCAGGAGGGCAGCAGTGCAGGGAGACACCGGGAGCATCCACACTCCTCTGGTAACAGGGAATTCCATTCACACTCAGGATAAAGCCACTGCTCACAAAGCACAAAGGCATCTTAAAAGGAGTGGCTATCACTGTTCCACCAATTAAAAACCACTTTTGACTGTAAGAGGTACAGAGGAGTTTTAGGATAAATAAGAGTCTGGTAGTAATCTGATCTCATATCCACAGGGGGGCCAATTCTCTTCTCATTTACATCAGTTTTATTTTCATATAACTCCATTAGTTTCAGTATTTATTTTTGCATGAGTGACAGCAGAATTATGCCCAGCATAATCACATATGAAGTGTAAAAATCCAACTTGACTAATTTCTCAGTATTAGCCATGAATGCTAGAAGCAGAAATAGAATCTCAATGGAGTAGTCCCTCAGTCTGGTCTTACTCATTATTTCCTCTCCATATCCAAGCTGGACATGCCTCTGAGTTACTGAAAGAAGTATGAGGATGGAGCCAAGAAAAAGTATTTCAGACAACCTGGGTTCTACTGAGTTTTAATGTTCAAATAAAACTGGATTTGAAGAGGCTTCTTGGGAATTTGTGTATTCTCTGCAGAGCTCTGCCTTGTTCAAGAGGAGAAGGAATAATGGCAGCAAAGTCTAAGGGCAGCTTGGTAAGGCAAGGAACTGGAGACCGTTGTTTTGAGTGATGAATCACTCA